GCCTAGGGTCTAGTTCTTCTGGTTCGGTTCATTTGATGGTTCCTCTTGAACTTCATTTGAACCTTCTGTCAGTCTGTGTGGGCGAGCTAGTGCTAAGATAGTTGTGCAAGAGAGATGCTGTGACCTTTGGTCGGTTGAGGTTTCCACCCCCACCTCCCGGTTTTTTCCAATGATCCTAAGTGGATTGACAACCTCACTGTCACGTGTCAACTCGGCTTATCTAAGACCAACCACTTGATGAACGACGAATAGACCTACCCGAGCTTTCAAATCTTAACACACTGTCCACCAATATGATCCTGGAAGCAATGTCTGGGCAACGCAGCAGCTGCTGTTGTTGTTGGTAGATAATTCCGCCATTCATTTGTCGTTCTCGTGAGATAAAACACCCACTCACGTGCGATATATTTTTCATCTCCTTCGGGTTTTAGAACAGGTTTCGGTGAGGGGCATGGCAGCCCCACAATCCTGCTTGTGGCAACAAATCTTGTACATATTATAGATGCATTCCAGCAATCTTTTGGACCACGTCGAGTTACGCGCAGTACCCCAAAAGCCAAATCGTTCAAATGGAGGTGTATCTACAAATGTGGTACTATAAATACAATAATAAAATGATAAAACTTTACAAACCTCAAATCGTGGGACTACGCCGGCTTCTATACACCGGTTTAGGAACTGCTAATTCCTAACGGGTCTCGAAGTCCACGCCGAATCAAAGCCACGTGTTTACAAGATAGCGAAACCACGTGTGAAATTAAACAAAACGTATGATGACAAGGTCAAAGAACAGTTTATGTTCAGGTCAAAAACAAGAAGGGTGGTATAGACGCAAAACCAAAATAACAAAAAGGGGGAATCGCGCTGTACAACATAAAAATAGGAAAAAGGAATCAACACATATCAGGAAACAAGCCACTTTACCAAGAACCAGATTATTTGTTTGAGCCGCCTGTGTTCGGGTGAGTTCTAGCTTTGAAGCCCATGTCATCCTGGCAAACCAGTTGTGGTCAAATGTTTCGCGAACGATAAATGTGGTTGGAACCATAGACGACTGACGCCATTTCAATCATCTTTAATCTGCTGCGTGACCATAGCATAGTGATGTGCAGAAAGCACCAGCCCCTCCCCCTTGGCATTAGGCAGGTGGCAATCTACCATCTCGTCACAATATAAAAAAAACAAGCGTTCAGCTGCCTTGCCACTAGACGAAAGCACGCGAGATGATGTACTGTGAAGTCGCCCAAACCTAGATAAACCCGACCTGAAGCTCTCACCTTGTCGCGGTGGTGGGGCTTCTGTGCTGCAATGACCTTGCGACCTATATTGGCTGGAAATTAGTTCCTAAAGGTTCAGACATGCCATGAAAGGCGTAAGGCAGGTGACCGGTATGTCCATATGTATGGAATCAGCGGTGCTGCATCCCTCCCGAGGAAGGACTGGTTTGATAAGGTTGGCCCACTATTAAGTGCGGTCGAAATTCATTTAAGACTCGAGGGTCTGGTACTGTTCAAAAAGTGCCTGCTGTGGATTAAGACGGTAATGCCGTACTCCCTGCTTACTCGGGCCAGGCCGGTCCCCTACAGCCAAGTGGGTAAGACTATTGAGTCGTTGGCTCCGGGAAGGGTCCCCGCAAGGAAACTCTAAGAACCGTTGTCTTGTGGTTCAGACCCTTGAGTCAGAGGCTAGGAGTAGGGTCCCTGAACAAAACCCTACTGCCCTCAAAACCCTCACTGCCTTGTGGGTCAGACTTAAGGTGAGCTGTCATAACCCAACCCCCTTCTTCAAGCTGGGCGATCGAGAAGTATCATCCACCCCTAGAGCTCTTCGCTCACTGGCCTTCTATCACTCTCTTCTCAACAACTGAACGATACTGTGCGATCAACTCATCTGTCAGTCCCCTAGCAATTGTTTCCTGTCTAAACCATGACCCAGAAGAAAATAAACCAAAATACTCTCTCGCTAACCTCAAGAGATCTGTCCGTAAATTGGGCAATAGGTATCCCATACTGAAACTTTGCCTTCCCTCTCTCGATGTATGTTGTGTCTCCGAAACACGCATGCAAGACCCCACTTCGGTCGTGCTCCTCAAGTGGCCTTGGACAAGCGCAGATGTTGCACATTTCACTCCTCGGGCATCCCGTGATCCTGACGCAGTGGCTCGTGGTATCATCGGTGTGGGAGTCGCACTCGGTCCCAAGGCTGAAAGTGCCTTGCACGACAGCACAACCGCTGGAGGAACTCAGCGGGCCTGAATGGAACATCGACATTCACCCACCATCAGCAACCGAAATCCAGCGTGAGATATCAATCCTGAAGCGTGGCAAGGCACCCGGCCATGATGATCTGAACCCCGCACTCATCAAAGGAGTTGGCGAGGTCGTGGTGCACAGTCTGTCAACCGTACCGCATGAGATTTGGAACGGAAACAGGATACCAGCCGGACGGAGCTCCTCGATCGTCATCCCAGGATGGGTACAAGAACGCCATTGAGAATCATCGTGGCATGAACCTGGTATCCGTCGCATCTAAGGTGCTCTCTGGCATTATTTTACGCAGGTTGATGGATTATCAGGAGAGACAGATTGGTGAGAATCAAGCTGGGGTTCGCCCTGGTCGATGATGCATCGACCATATCTTTGCCTTATGACAAATTCTCAAACAATGCCGCTCCTTCAGATTTTCCACGTTGATCGTTTTTCTTGATGTAAAGACTGCTTTCGCTTCCGTCGTTCGTCAGAAACTGCGGCGGTGTCTGGCGACCAAAGATGTCCCTTCCGAATTTATGTCTCATATGGAGGCACTGTATGCGAATTCCTGTGGGCGCGCACGAGTATACGGGAAGCTTTCTCCTGATGTATGACAGGGCTGCCCTCTCTCGCCTTTCCCTTTCACATTTGTTATTGATATGCTGCTTGAATTTTCTCTACAGCCTCTGAAACCTCGAAGGGTGGAATGCTCCGGGGACTTTCGCTCACAGGCGTTGAGTATGTGGATGATATTGCTCTCCTTGGTTCAGGTCCTTCAAAAATTGAAATCGTTTTGAATAACCTAACTAGCTTTACTGCATGGGTTTGGGTGCGCTTCACACCTCCAAAGTGTGGGTTGAACCAAATCGAAACCTGCTTTCAGGCGAGCAGCAATCCATACGGTAGATAAATTTGTTAATCTGGATAGTTGTATAAATTCTGGAGATGAGAATCAGGAAGGTCAGGGCAGCTTTTGCCAACCTCCGACACCTATGGCGCGACTTGACGTGAGTTTCTATGTCAAGGATAGGGTTCACACTGCGGCAGTGCGATCTATACTGCTTTACGGATTAAAGACGTGGCTTCTACGCGCAGGGAACATACGGAAGATGTGAGCGTTTGACCATCGGTATCTCCGAAGCGGTGGTCGGGACCAGTGGGATTACCGAATTAGTAATGCTGAGGTCCTAGTAATGCTTGTCCTAGGAAGAAGGAACTCTTCCGTGATAGATGAATTACTCGCGCTTTGTAGGTCGCACTGGCTAGGACATGTACTCCGCATGTCAGAAGACCGTCCGCCTCGCGGAGCCCTTTTCGCCCAGCCGTGTGCTGCGTGGAAGCGACCGATAGGCGGACAGTGAACGACCTGGCAACGAAGTATGAAAACACTAACCAGTAAACTGAGTGGGGTCAACAACTGCAGCCTCCGTGGATGGTGAACCCGAGACTCAACTCACTGATGGTTGATGAGGCTGATGGAAATGTCCCGGTCGCCTAGTCAATGACGCTCGTGCATCAAAGCTATCGTCTTCATTGACTAGCTATTTAGCTTCCGAACTGACTGAAGATTCCATCGCCTTCAACACTTGTCCCACGCTCTCTCACTTTCTGATAATCGACGCTGTAACAGTTGGAACCGATGTGTACGTGATACACGGTTTATAGCTGATAAATTGATTGAATCGATACCTAGACAAGAGCAGTTGAGATGCCGGATCTTCTGGTCAGTAACTTCGCGGCTTCAACCACTGAGCTACCTCGAGCTTTATTGGCTTGACGAGTCGAGCCTTCAGGTTTGTAATTGTGCTCCATGGGTTGTACCCCCGAAGGTGGGAAGTGGACCACTTCGCTGACAGTCATTAAATCCACTCACCTCTTACTCCACATAGATACCTTTAGGCAGGTGAAACACAAGGTTCGGTTGACATTCACTATTGCTCAGTGGTTAGAGTGCGGATATACTGATCAGAAGGTCCATGGTTCGAACCCGACCTCTGCCTCTCGACTCCCCCTGTCCAGGCTTGGGCAACCTGGCAGTATCCCAGCCCGCGTGCTTCCTTCGGTGGCATGGTACCAAACGAATGTCGAATTATTTACGAATAATGATGATAATTTCTCTCTGTTAGTACACTTGCAACAGACCTTGAAACAAGGTTCAAGTAGGAAATCTGTTTTGTACAGTAGTATGCGCAGACACGCAGGACTGACAGACAAACACGTGTGTTTTGGAGAGATGACGCTCTAGGTGATAATGCATCCTGTCGGTTATCATCCACTACTTTGCCTAATGGGTATCATTACGCCCCAAGTGGCCTGTGATACTGTGCATAGGTCTGAATGCAGTTTTGTTGCCCAATCTCCACCACGTTCCCAATGCTGCGTATTCCCATACCTGTCTAGTTAGATATGTCCTGTCTGGATGTGTTCTATTGTTAAATTTCCAAATGTTTTTGTAAGTGGTCCCTGCGACCCAGCACTTCCCGTTCTGACTTTTTTGCCCGCCGAGTGCATATACTGACTTGACAACAGCACGCCAACGATTATCAGCCGCTTTGCATAAATTGAATCGAAGTGGATCGCATTTGCATACGTGTATGCTCTACGTTTTTGAGATGCGCCATCATACTTTTTTAGTGTTAAGCAGCATTTGGCACTGGATATTTCCATCGATCATTGGGTTAGTGGCTATCCGGCGGGAAGGAAGTAGATTCGCCTACAGCTCGGTTTTTGACTTTCCAATGTCTCGCACAGAGTAGCTTCCGCTTTTGCCGTCGGCGTTGGTACTCGCGTAGAATATGAGCTGCGGTCGCATAAAAATATTCAAACTAGAGCACCTTATGGAATTTCGCCCCTCAACGAGAACAAACTTTACGGGATCCTCATATCGAGATTCCTAAGTCGATTGAAAACGTGGGCCCCACAAATGTGTTTCCGTTTTCGCTTTGTAAAAAATCTCACTACCCGATGGTACAGCTTGGTCATGTCTTTTGTTAAGAACGTTACCGAGCTTTTCAGGCTCAGAACTTTGGAGATCAGTGAGATCAACTCGGATGTTGTGGGACGAGGTAACGAGTTACATTGTGCCGAACGGCGTGCGAACGCGAGTTGCAATCTTCCGATGAGTTTTGGGTCGGCGTTAGGTGGAATTTAACGCCAAAACTGCCTTACCGCTCGCGATTGGGTGCTCCTTCGGCCAATAAGCCTAATCCGCACCTGATTGGCCAGAATATCGGGCCGCTTGTCTCTGCAGCATCAAGGCAAGCTCTGATTGGTCGAAAGTGTGGGCCCACCAGCCAATCCCGTTTCAGTATCCCCTTAATGCCGGTTCGCATTCCCACGTCCGAGTGTCTGAACTAGTAGAATATTGTTGCATGCATGAAGCGCCATACATGTTTTTTGGCCTGTTTTGTAAACCCAGGTGGTTAAGTGACTAAAACCGAGAACAGCTGAAGCATTGCCGGTGTTACGACTAGCGACTAGGAGGTTTTTAGGCCTCACAAATTGATCATACGAGCCACGCTGCTATTTCGGAGTCATTTTTACCGGTTTCACTTCTTCTTGGTGAATATTCCGGGAAGTAAGCCACTGTTTTACAGTGATTTCTCGGAATATTTCCAAGCCCAAGACGAACTACTTCGTAAACATTCAAGGCGTCGTCGAAAGGCCATTACCTCATCCAGTGTTATGAACCACCTCCAATGGTATCCTGGTTTTCTTGTGATCACAGTGAACACAACTCATCTGTTGAAGGATCTTTTGAAAATCCAATAACTTTTGCTCTGCGGGCTAAAGATTAGGTTAATATCGCATCCACTACGAAGGCCTGATTACTCCGTTGCTATAACATGTGCTTCTGGGGTCGAGCTATTCATCGGGGCACCACCTGGCTCGCTGCCCCTGCTGAATGTAATCTTGGCTTGAGCTCTCGGACAGTGTATGCATGTAGCGAATGTGTTTGAGGAACGATGTTAACCTCTCGAACGAGCGATCGGTTGCATCTGTGAGCTAATTTCGATACTTGCCTCTTTGCCTATAATGCGTACGTCTGTGGCGTTAAACTGTCATGACGCCGGCGAGCTGAATGTGTGAGCTGTGTACAGCTTCGACGTATGGGTTTGCGTAATGAAAGATGTCCTAATGAGCCTTTCACGTCTTATCCGAACCGTTTCTGGCGTTCATCAACTCATTTATTTGCAAACTAGCTGATGCGTTCATGAAATCAACTTGGAATTATGTGGGAACTGTCGTTTGTAATGTCCTTCAACGCAAAGTCCATATCAGGGGTCAGGTGGGTCCCATATTCAACCTACCAATCTTTTTCCTTCGAAATCAATACCACGCTTAAAATTGGTGTTGGCGGATATCGCGAAGGTTTCATGGAAGCCGTATTTCTTGAACAAACACATTAGCAGGCTGCTTGTTCACTGATGAGCTGGAAACGGTGATCAAATATTGCTATATACGTATATCATATTAGTTCTTTCAGAAAACTGGTATAAAGCCACAGGCGAAGGAAGTGATATTTCTCGAGATCCTATTCCACATTCGATAAGCTCGCTACAGGCACTGAAACAAGTGATATCGAAAGCCTCGTTTGTCGGGAAGTGGACTGGTGTGTGTGTGTGTTTGCTCAGCGTTTTCAAGATGATCAATTTTCTGCCTTTCATACTTGATTTGTTCACCACCATCATCTTTTTCATCATTCGCTTATAACCGAGTACCCCCCGTGATCTCACCGTTTTCAGATGTCAACTATGAGTTCAACTCTCCGGTCCTGCCGTCCCCGCAACCCATCGCGCCAATGGCTAATTTGAATTCTTGTGAAACAGTTTCCAAAGACTGTAAACTTGCGGAAGCAGTTTTGCGCGTGAAGCTTCTATGGAATGAGCGTGCTCTGAACGGGTTGCAGTTAGATTCCCTTGGTCCGGATTTCACGTGTGATTTAGATCCGTTATCCTTGAGAGTCCTACGAGAGTTCTGTGGTGAGTATGGCATGGCCGAACGTCCGCTACGCCACGTGAATAAAACTACCGTTTATACTGTAGAAGGGCAATGAAGTATGTTACGAAAAGTCCGGGTGAGGTTAGTGGTGTCCATCTTCCAGCATGTGGTCCGTCCCTTTGCTTGGCTGGAGACACTGAACGATATGGCGGCTAATCGGCGTCAGTATCTTTTATACTCTTGCTTTCTCGATTATCTGACTGGAGGTCTAGACATCTCAGATATTTTACTGTCCGCTGATCTTAAGTCCCCCGCCCTGTCCCATTTCTTTCTTATTTCTACCATGTATTTGGTGAATTTTGTAAAACCTGAATTGATAAATGGGATCAGATACAATTGCGAACAAAGTGCTATCCCATTCTACCAGAGTGACTAAATGGACCCTTCAAAAATGCTCCTTTCAGGAGGCCGGACGTTGTAGAGGGTTGTACGACCTAACACTCCCTATATGTAATGTCTCCCTCGCTATATATATATATATATATATATATATAAGGTGATATTACGGTGAAATTCTGATATCACTTAATCTAGGATATCGATTTGCCTCAAATGTTCACTCAATGAAGGTAAAAATTCGTTCAAGCTTCTGATTGGAACTACCGAAGTTTCTCACCCTAGAGGGTTATTCGTTTTTTTTAACGCCAGGTGTAAGCAAGAACCAGATGGATTTGTATAACCCAGTGGTTGTAGGATTGTAATCACTAACTTGGTCTCTTTCCACGTACATTAGATAATATTCAGCGGGTCGGTTGCTCCATGGCGCTTCTCGCGTAACCGGCGGCGATTCCCCGTAGCCGCTTTGGGATACCTTACATACTCCTGTTCCATCCTGACCCAACGTTCTACACTCAGTGAGAAATAGTCTATCAAATTATGAAGACGCTGTCGGCGAGATTTAGGGTGGTTAGCCTAGCGCTGGCAACATGTCGTTGCGAGTTTCTTGGACTTTAGCTTGCCCTCGTACCTTTATAGATTAATTCCTCATATCAAAGCACCATCGTCATCGTGATCACTGTCATCATCATCATCATCGTCATCATCATCATCATCATCTTCATCATCATCATCATCATCACTATCATCCTGACTAACAGATACATCAAAATCGGTGTTGATTTTGATGTTTCACTATCGCACAACCACAAAGTTTATCTAATTGTACCTAACGCCTGAGAATGAAAAGAAGAGAAAGGATTGTGTGAGGGTGGGGACCTGGTGTTGGCCTATCGCAAATATTCTGAGGTGCATACACCTTCCGGTACTCAGTCAGAAAATCTGGAAATAACCTAGTAATAAGAACGTCATTGACATCGATCAGCCTCCATTTTTTCCATTGTCTGAAGCCAAGCACAGGCTGGGTCACGGGGACCCCATCCTGAAAGGCGTACTGCATCAATGGCACCCAAACTCTTCGTAATCTCCTTGTGCCAAGTCATCCTTTGTTCACCTCGCGGTTTCAGCATGTATAGCTGAGGTTTGTATTTCCGTGGCTTCCCACGCTACTCATTTTCGATGGTCCGCGATTTCTAGATCCTTTGGGGGATATGGTTTCCCTTGCCAACACTGGACGAGGTTGCCCGACTGGATTTTTCATCCCAAGACACAATGAATCCCGATCAATATGGTGTGTATTCCAAGTCGGTGAAGCACGACACCTTCATCAATGATCATTATCATATTCCGTCGAAATCAAAATCCCATCGCTTACGATACTTAAAATTACGCGTTTTTCCTTATGAACTTGGAAATTTCTGTCCAGTTCCTGAGTTGATACGGGGAGGGGATTCCGTAGCCAAAACTGGCCGACCTATATTTTAACTTTCCCTAATCTATCAGGGATTTGGACTCTAGTAACATTGCCTCTAATCTTTTGAAATTGTCTTTTCTCAACCCAAATACCTGATAGTATTCTGGTGATTGTCTTACAAAGCAAGACCCCGTTCAAGATAGTTGTTTGCTACCTCTGTTTATTTCATTCCATACTCATTTTGCATGGATGAATCTGATGACCGTTTCCAACCACATCTTGATGCCAACAGGCGTTTCGAAGCCACATTTGCACGAACTACTTCCACAAGAACAAATCGTTTCGCACGCCATCAACATCGGGGATGTCGGTTACAATGTGTCCACCGTTGTTCACCATTTCAACGGCTCTACGCAGTGGACTGTCACGGAGGGTCAACTCTCCCAGGTAGAGCATCGTCTTGACAACGTGCCGTTCACCTTGAGTTTTTGGATGAATCACTCGGCCGTCCCCGAAGCTGTTGACTCGCCAGACGAGTTGAGTGGCAAAGAGCACATTGTTTGTAGCACTGACGGGCAGGGTGAGTTCATTTGGATGTTGTGCGCCCCCCCTCCATAGTGAGCTTCAAACCACTAAAACATTCGGAATACCTCTTTTCCCCTCTGTGTTGAGTATATGCTCAAATTGTTGAATGTTGATAAAACCGAAATCAATTTGGTTTCTCGAAAATCGCTGTGAAGAGATTAGACCTTATGGTAATGTGGCCCACTGAGGTCTACTGGGGGTGGAAGGGGGTTTACTTTGACACCCGCGAAGTTTTTCATACTAAACACGTACTACTGTAGTAGTATGCCGGAACGGATCCACTCCCTTGCGGTTAGATTAGGCTTATGAGCCAGAGGCTTTGATTGAGGACTCTATTCGTCCTTCTGCTCATGTATGGGCTTCCCGACAGTATCCTATCCAGTAGAACCACTGTTGTGGACCACAGTTTTCCTAGTGCCTTCTTAATACTATAAAGCCGAGTCTAGGTGGCCGCTTGATAGATTGATGCGCTTAGCCAAACCAGAAGACCGATGAACGTGTGAATCAGCTGATCTGTTGAACACTGACGCGTACAGGCGTGTCGCGTGCAGCCGTAAACGGACTGCGTATGCAGCTCACGTGGACCCTTCTAGGCGGGCCAAAAAGGGATACTATGTATACAACTCATCTGTCAAGGGCGAGTGAAGAACAACCAATGAAATCTGTCCCAACGAAAACGGTAATTTCATTGGCAGTTGTGTAATCTTGTAACGTTTGGAGCTGGTTCTCTTCACAACCATGAACGTCACATCTGTAATTGCCTTTTGCGGTTGATTGCACCAATAGATCAACTGTGGCAGCAAACTATGAGGCCAATTTGCACGATTCTTTCACTTCTGGCAAATTTGTTGGCCATTCCGATTGTGTTGTTCTCTGAATCATTGCTTTAACCAATCGCATGCGCATTTCCTCGTGCCGTTGTGATTCTCGTAGCCGGTAGTTCTGAACGCTAGTTATCTACCACATATGTCCTCCAACTAAAAGTGCAAACGCAACAGCGGACGCCGAAGTTACTGTTGATACCGACTTGTAACTTCCAGAGAACCACAATGTTTGCTTACCTCGAAGACTTGCTTTTGGGGAACAAAATAGTCGTATGAGAAGAGATCTGGCGCTAAGCCACCGCGTACAATTCGATGCCCGGTGCTGCTGATATATTTTGCAATGCATGCTGCTAAGCACATGCATGGTGGTTTTCCTGCCTCATTTGCATATGCAGCATCCGAATTTCAGGAAATGGCTTGTTCATGCTGTTCTTCAAATCTTCCGATTATCTTACTACACCTCGCTGCGCGTCTTGAAAATCGAAGCCCTCAGATCATTCGTTTGTTGATGCGGCTCCAATATCCCCTTGTATTTTGGTATCCATGAGCTTTTTTATCCCCGAGAGAGGTGTACACATATTAGCTAGACCAGGAATGTGCGGAG